TATTTTAGGATGGAACTCCGATTCATCGTTGGAGAGAACCCAAACTCCTTGCCAAGTGTTTGCTGAACTACATCAAGTAAGTTATCAATGCCGTGTTCAAATGATCATTTTTAATCTCCAGTTGGTTGTAACATTGTTAGGTCTTAAGGACTCAACAAAATTTCGTTCTTACCTTTTCTTTAATCTTCATTCCAGGCACCGTCCAACTGAGGTGGAATTACTTTTCCAGTTGCTACGTGTGTTTACTATCCGTCATGTGCCTGATTTCCATTTTTTGAGGACATTTCTGGATGAGAAAGTTGCAAAAGTAAGCCTCATTTAGATCACTCGGACCATGATTCATCTAAGGAAATGATGAATCCTTCCCAGGGTGAATTCATCATTGCCTTGGATTCATCATGATCCGATTTATTGCCATCACTAGTAGTGTGGTATTGAATTAACCAAAGTAGTATAGTGTGTACTGAATTAACCATTGTAGTATAGTGTGTACTGAATTAACCAAAGTAGTATAGTGTGTATTGAATTAACCAAAGTAGTATAGCGTGTACTGAATTAACCAAACTAGTATAGTGTGTATTGAATTAACCAAAGTAGTATAGTGTGTACTGAATTAACCAAAGTAGTGTAGTATGTATTGAATTAACCAAAGTAGTGTACTATGTATTGAATTAACCAAACTAGTATAGTGTGTACTGAATTAACCAAAGTAGTGTAGTATGTATTGAATTAACCAAAGTAGTATAGTGTGTATTGAATTAACCAAAGTAGTATAGTGTGTACTGAATTAACCAAAGTAGTATAGTGTGTACTGAATTAACCAAAGTAGTGTAGTATGTATTGAATTAACCAAAGTAGTGTACTATGTATTGAATTAACCAGACTAGTATAGTGTGTACTAAATTAACCAAAGTAGTGTAGTATGTATTGAATTAACCAAAGTAGTATAGTGTGTATTGAATTAACCAATGTAGTATAGTGTGTACTGAATTAACCAAAGTAATTAACCAAATAAGAGAAACAAGATATGATAAGTAATGCTTTGTTATTTATGGTATGGTTTAACAATTAAGTGTCTTCATTGTCTTTCTATTCTTAGGGCTACTCAGTCGAGCAGAAGAGGGCTGTTTTCTTCAAATTTGTGGCACTGTTTCACGATCAGAACTTCCCTCAAGAGCTCAAAGCTAAGGTACACTTGACCATGTGCTGTCTATCTGTCACAATTTAAGGGGCTGTGTCACAGCTGCCTTGTTCATCTTAGTAAAATTACAGCTTTTAGTCAACAAAATATATCTTCCAAGCATTATTTCAAACGTTACAAACAACAACTTACTTTTAGGTTAACAAGTTTTCAAAAACCACAATTGAAATCCGTTTCAATCTTCTTCAAGTCTGTCCATCCGAGCCTCGTTTTGTATTTACTGTGCAATTTACACATTCTTCAAAATTTTTGAGCGGTTATTTTAATGTTTCACTCAATTTGATGCCAGTACCCTCTGTCTGATTTTGATAAATAACGTGACACAGCGCCTTTGAACTGTTACAGTCCTGACACTTTCTTGCTCTCTTCTCTTTAGGCCCTACAATATGTGTTGATACCCATGTTTCAAGTGTCCTTTGAACGTGGCGAGGGTGATGCCTTGATTGGTGGACCTCCGAGTCCTGAACAGGACAGCAACGAGAACGTCATAAGTGTGTTTGTCAGCAGGGTTGTTGACCCAGTTAACCCATTTGGAACGTCTGTAAGTACAATACACTTATTGGGATCAATTAGGGTTTCTGCGTAACTGGCCACCCACCCCTCCCCTAACTCAACTCACTTAAGGCAACATTGTGACTAAGGGGAAGGGTGGGTGGGCAGTTAATCAGAAACCCCCATGATTCCACTTATTCCCCATTTCAGAAACTTCATGGGGAATGGTACAAGTTGTGACAAAGAATCTCTTTCTTGTAGTAAAGAGTTTGAAATAAATAAAGTTGTTGTTGGTACAAGCTTTCGGCGTAACGATTTTTGGGTTCTCTTTGATGAACAAGCGTTACTTATGATTGGTTGCCTTGATACCATGGACCAATCATAGCTGCGCCTAAGCTTGTGGCCAATTCTTCCCAGGGATTTTGAAGTGGGGAATTCTATTTCCGGCAAATTTATATATGTAGATCTCGTTACAGCGAGAAAGTGAGCTTCATTCTAATAAGTAATTTCTAAATCCCTGATTAGCATTGTTTAATTAAATTTATATGATAAAGGTTTTGACGTTTTATTGTAAGTACAAAGCGCCAGTTATCACCATGGAAATAGGATGTTTTAATTGTAATTTTTTTGCAGGATGCTGTTCGCATTCTGCTGTTACAGTTTTCAGCTTTACTTGTGGAACATGCCTCCCAGCATATTCATGATGCTTCAAACAAGTAAGTAATTGCAATAACATATCATAGGACCTTCATTATCATGGCAGTCAAGTGTTTTATAAAGTACTACAAAATACTGAGATATACCTACCCGCCGCAAGTGGCATACATGCTATTCGAGGTGAAAACAAGAGAGCCATTATGTGAAAGTAAACCAAGCTAACCTTAAGCTGATGTAGAATTAGAGAGGACCCCTGGAAATGTAGGTTTTGGGTGGGGGGACCTGAACACGTGGAACACAGGTGGAATTAAGACCTTTGTGTATAGCCACAAACCTTTAAAATATTTAAATCGAAATTTAAAAAGTAAAGAATAACAAAAATGTGAAAATCAACCCTCTCCATCCCTCCCCTAAGCCTGTTCTTTGGCCATCAGAGCAAAGACTGGCTTTTGAAAGGTTAGAGTTTCAGGAAAAGAAACTTTGACTTTTTCACAAAAATGTGAAAATCAACCCTCTCCATCCCTCCCCTAAGCCTGTTCTTTGGCCATCAGAGCAAAGACTGGCTTTTGAAAGGTTTTAATTTCAGGAAAAGAAACTTTGACTTATTCCCGACACCCAAATGTTTTGTCATAAACAAATAGTAAAACGATTTGAGGCAATTTGAGATTAATTTGAGATTGTTGTAACCAGTCCTTTTTCTTCTGTCACAGAAAACAAGGACAAAAGTTGCGTCGTCTTATGACATTTGCTTGGCCTTGTCTGTTACCTAAGCAATGTGTGGTAAGTCCAGTGCTTGGAATTTCTTGTTTGTTTTGTTAAATTTGGTACAATTGGCCATCTGGAAGCTACGCGTAAGACTGGCTCGAACGGAACTATGGGACTAAAAACGTCGATTGAACCTATGACCTTCTTGCATGACTAAAATAGTTATCTCATTTTTAGAGAATAAACAAACTCGACCGCTGCTACCATCATTGGCAATTTTTTTTCTGTTTGCCCCCCTGAGAAACCACGTGACTTAATCGCCGTGAATAAGGTCTATTTCCTGTGCGATAGCTTCTCCGAAAAAGTCCGTTAGTGCAATTCGACAAAGTACCGACCCAGTCTATCACTCGACCTCTTAATGGCTAGTATTTGTTTGTATCGCAAAAGAAAAAAGGTTGGGAAAAATGAAATAGATACATATATTATAACAAAGTTAAGTGGTCCCTTAAGTTAACACGCAAGTTTTCTTGTAGGGCAGACGCGTATGAGTGCTTAGTATGTTCTAAACTTCTATGCAACACCCGTTAGTGTACCCATAATGAATTCGCAAGTATCTTACTTCAGTGAGCACTTAAGTTGAAATTATGCAACCGGTTCCTGGATCCTAAATAATCATTTTACTCCTAGAAATTATGTGTTATTTTATTGTCATTTTCCTCTAACAAAAATTTCCAGATTTGAACTTTTAAAAAATTTCCAAATTTAACCCAACTAATACAGGTCTCGTCATGCCATTAATCATATTTTTAACTTAAATCGGTCATCGAAGAATAAACTTACTGTTAATCCTTCTAGGACCCATCTACCAAGTACCATGGGCATTTGTTGCTCGCCCACATCATCGCTAAGTTTGCTATCCACAAGAGAATCGTGATGCAGGTAAACTAACATTCATGTTATGTATTATTGTTGGTATTGTAAACGTTGATGCTAAATATTAGTAAAATGAACCAGCATCGTTGACTCAGTGATAATTCTCGTCCTTCTAGGTTTTCCACAGCTTGCTCAAAGCGCACGCGGTCGAGGCTCGTGGAGTCGTCAGGCAGGCACTGGATATCCTGACGCCAGCAATGCCAGCCAGGATGGAAGATGAAAATGTAAGTTGGGAGAATAATATGTGATTCAAAGTAGGTTAGACTGTTTGGAAGCTATACTAAGTGTACCGAATAGCGTGCTGGAAGTCAGTTTCAAACCGACAGAGTTGTGTTTCAGTCAGCGTCCATTTGAGAGTCTTGCGAATTAATGTCAATCAGAGGATTTTCATTCTGAGCGTGAGAACAATGCGCCAACATTTTTTCCTTACAGTTGTTTGTAGCTCTTACTTTGCGTACTGAAAAGGTTTTAGTAAAATGTGATTTGCAAGCCGACGAAGGGTACTTAGTCTGTCTGAAAAATCCTTGAGCTGATTGAGGTTATAAGAGAATTGTGAACCGACTGTTTTTTTGGTCAGTAAAGTGTGAAGGAAGTAGGGAAGATCCTGCTGAACAGTAAATATTTTGTTTCTTTTCAGACCAAGCTGACTCACTGGACGAAGAAAATCATTGTTGAAGAAGGACACACCGTTGCACAGCTTGTGCATATGCTGTATGTTATAGTTAGAACACTTTTTATTAGGTAGCGCATTAATAATATAGTAAACTTAACGAACACGTCTTTAGGACGAACACCTTCGTAAAATGGGCAACTAGAATGGATCCCTACAGTTCTTCAGTCGCTTTCTTTTGCTCTCCATAAGACGGACTCTAGTGTTGTTTTCTGTGTTAACTGTATAGCATTTCTGCCTCGCAATTAATATTTCATGCGGACTTATAGTTTTGCATATTTTCTTTTTGTCAGGACGTTGCTAGTGCGGCATTATCGAGTGTACTATCCAGTTAGAATTCACTTAATTCAGCACATGGTCAGTGCTATGCAGAGACTTGGATTCACTGCCAATGTGAGTGACGAACCTACAGCTCTGGACCGGGCTGTTAACACACTGGATACCTCTATCCACCAAGAAATCTCTATCCAGCCGATGAGTATAAGCGAAACCAATTGGGTTATCCACTGGATCAAAATTTCTCCAGTGGATAGCGTTATCCACTGTTCAAACAACTGGGCCTTGATGCATTACAGTACAATCAACAAAATTACTTGTTTGTTCATCATCATCATCATCATCATCATCATCATCTTCATCATCATCATCATCATCATCATCATCACCACCACCACCACCATCATCATCATCATCATCATCATCATCATCATCATCATCATCATCATCATTTATTTGTCAGGTGTTTCAATACAGTGCAAGTTAACAGCTACATATATTTGGGGAGGAGACCTCAAGAAACCACCAGGATTACGACAGAGGCCACCTCGAATATAAATATATTTACTGTTAAAATAAATGCTGCGCACAAAGGAGGTGCCATTAAAGATTCCGAATTTGGTTTTATAGACTTCGAAGATCACCGAAGTTGACCCGAAGTGTAGTGAACGTAAAACAGGCTGACGACTCCTCACTCGTGATGTTGTAGAAGTTGTTTCCGACGTGTCTTGTTTTGTACGAACCTTACCAACATAATGCAGGGACAACTTGACAGGCGGCATGGTTTGCCTCTGCGACTAAATTGAGTTATTTTTGTATTTTTATAGGCGTCTATTGAACACCGCAAGCTTGCCGTGGATCTTGCTGAGGTTATCCTCAAATGGGAATTGCAACGAATCAAGGATGATCAAGAACAAACATCAAACCAAGAGGTAAAATTTTCTGTGTGCCAGACATCGAAAAGTTTAAGTATAGCCTCTAAACAGTTAAACATGTTTCTCTCTTTTGGTTGCGCCCTCTGAATTTTAAGTTGCTATTGTGCGTGAAAATTCAAATGGAAAACAGAAGGGAATTTGTCACATAGAAATTAATATCTTTTATTGTATTTTGTAGCAGTCTGAGTCGTCGGCATCAGCAGCATTGAAGGTAATATTGTAGAAAGAGAATCAAGTCTTTGTATTTCGCAGAGAGTAACTCTAGCTTCTTTCGTGCTCTTCAAACTTCCGAAGTGCATCCATAACTCGATATACGCACACTAAACATGAATCAGTCATTAATTTCAAATTTTAGGCTAAACAGGTTCTTGTAAAGAGGTAGCCTAACTGGCAAAGTATAGCCTAACAGGTTCTTTGTCGCGGGTCTGTACTCTATTAGACGGCTTGACAGCTGTTTTCTTAAATTGTTGTATTTGTTTTAGGTTGGAGGCGTTAAGAGGCCATCGGAGGAGTCTGCCACTCCAGAGGCGAAAAGGACAAGGTCTTTGTCCCAGGTATGTGTAATGCATGTATTCTACAGTCTCTTCATTTATCCATCGCTCCATTTGATTGTCCATCGTTTCGTCAGTTGGTCTGTTACCGGAGCCGTGTTTCTTGTTTTACCGTCCATCATAACCCTTTTTTCCTCAATGCTAACTCGCAGCTTCTGTCCTTCCGCTGTCGTTCTGCCAAACTCTCAATTATTTCCAAGTAATGAATCGATCAGCATAATAAATCGTTCAGTTATTGAGTCAGTCAGTCTGTCAGACAGACCGCTGGTGAGTTGACTAAACAAAGAAAACTCGTCCAGCACTCGGGAACGTCAATCAGTAATAATTAATAATTAATGAATGAGACTGAGTATCTTATGAAGAATTATGGAGATCGAAGAGGGTGTTATGCGGATAACACCTTACGAAAGCCGAATTCAATAATTGTTTTATTATTCATTCAAAATAATTCTTAGTTTAAAAACAAAGCTAAAACATGCTTACCTCCATCGATGTTAAGTTCACCTTCGACAGTGCACGTTTAGGGTTGTTAAGCTCCGCAAATATTCTCCAAATATCAGATGTCGCCCTTCGAGTTGTGTTCTTGCCATATTTTTAGCTATAATTTCGCCTAGTTCTTACTCTTGAAACGAGTGAAATTACCGCCACTTTTTGTTTTCACAACCAAAACAACTCAACCTCGTCCCCAGGTCTTCTCGTTTAACGGTGCCTTAACCTGCAAGATCGCTGCATTTTTGACGTCATTTCCTCGTTAAACACAAATTTCTTCCAAATTTGGTCATCAGTAACTGGTTTTGGTGAATTATGCGTGTGCTTTTAGCCAATCAGAATCGGGGAAATATTTGAATGAATAATAATAACGTTTATGCTGTTACGTTTGCTTGTAAAGCGAATAAAGAATCATTGTGCGTCACCTGTGTGCTCTGTTGCTTTGCAGGGCACTGTCTCTCGAGTATCAGTCCAAGAAGGCCAGGCCAAATCACCGCTTGAGAAACATCATGCAGATGCTGTCGTCAACTTTCTTTTGAGGATCGCCTGTCAGGTAACTGTTGGGGATAGGGATGGTACCTTCTGGTCTAAGTTATAGGGAAAACAGCAGCTGTAACTTTTTCATGAAAACCGGCACACTGTGTTGCGTTATAGGTTAATGAACCATCGACAACTATGGGCTCCCCAGGTGAAACTTTGTCTCGGCGGTGTGTGGCTCTGTTGAAGACTGCACTGCGACCTGATGTGTGGCCAGGTGAGCAGAAAATATAGGAAGGACTTACGTAATCATTTAGCTTGTAGTTTTTACACCCTGCAGCGTGAGCATAGCTGGTAAAAGAGTAGAGATCCCGTTGATCCCCGTGTCGTAAAAAATGTTAGCGTACGCAACAGGTCGGCAGAACCTTTTGTGTGACAAACGTCAGCGGGGTTCTCGCACAGTCTTGGAAAGTCTTTGAATTTTAGGCGAAGTCCTTGAAAATTCCTTGAATTCCATTTTTCCTTGAAAAGTCCTTAAATTTCTGTGCAAGTCCTTGAATTTTCTTCAATTTTGAATGCAGTGACCTACTTGTAGAAAGAGTTTTTTGATGCTTTTTGGTTGTCCAAGATAGAATATAAATCATAGCTCAGAGAATTGAAAGGCTATTTACATAAAGTGCTCTATGTTTTATGCAATAATTAACTATCAATTTAAGACCAGTGAACTGAAAAATGTAGAGAAGTTGGTGAAGCAAACAGTTCAAGCCTTAGAGTCTTATTAGAATAGGTTGGGAATGAGCAAATTTGTACAATCTGTGAAATTGTATTCCTAGTGGTCCTTGGAAATCTAATGTGGTCCTTGAAAACTCCTTGAAAAATGGTTGGAATTTTTTTGTACGAACCTTGACTCAGGGCTATTGGGTGTTTTGTCGTGATCTTTCCTAACATTACTATGTTCTGGTCTTTTACAAAAAAACATATGTTTAAAGAAAGGGCCAATTCTGACAGAAAACCTTTCTTTTTTAAACATAATTATTGTCACGCATGTCACATAACGTTTGCCGTCCTTTTGTACTGTCCTGCTGTATGTAATTTCACTGTTATCAGCCCAGACGTACTGCCCCTACCTTCCGAAACATTAAATATTCATGTGGATCAGTAAACCGAAAAGAAATGGCGGTTTTTAATCTCTCTAGTCGGGGACAAAGAAATAGTGCTCATCACTAATGCTGTCTGCTAAATATATTGACATTTTAATAACGACTCTTGAAGGAAAAAAAGTTTCACGACAAAAATGGTGGGTCATCTTCTTGTTTTTTTATTTTTTTTTAGGCACTGATTTGCGTGTTGGTTGGCTGGACAAGATACTGGTTACAGTTGTAAGCGTTAACTTATCTTTCCTTGATTATTCACCTAAAATTTCTGTAAAAAAGATCTTGTAATTCTGGAACTGACAGTTTTAAATTAGTGACTGAGGTGAGTGAATACGCGTTCGCTTTGGTATTTCATCCTTACGTTTTATGATTGGCTAGACAATCTTACGCCACTTTCTTGACCAATCAGAAGTAAACAGTGACTTGCGTGCACTATGCGTTTTCCCGCGGTTACTGGCGTGTGATTACTTGATTAGCTTCGAGATCTGATTGGTGCATTCGATTTTGTCCACGTCGTGTGATTGGTTGAACAAACATCTTTAGCTTTGGCTATTAAGTCCATCATTTAGAAAGCTCTTATGTCAACTTGGTAAGCTATTTACTATTATATTTGGAAGCAAATTGAGACGAATCCTGTCCTGTTATTGTCTTATCAGTAGGCCCCATGAAACTACCTTACCGACTAAGGATTAACCGATTTGTTTCAGGAAGAAAGATAAAGTTATGTTTCTGAAGTCGCATATCAAGTTTTTTTGCGGACGATAACCTGCGAGCAAACATTCCAATTAATAATCTCTTGAGGCGAAGGGTCGCGCGCGAGTACGTGCACTTCGCGTGGTGCCAGTTTTTTGCGCTTTACCCTTGAGTTGACTCTCCAGGCTAAATCGTTTCAAGTTACTGCTCATAAAGAAAAAGAAAATTAAAGGAGCTTGACAAATATTCAGTCACCTTGTCATCCAAGACATCGGCAATAGTTAAAAAAAGTATTGTTTGCTTATAAGTTGTGTTTGTTTTCAGGATCAAACACCTGCAGCCAACTATGCGAATGTTTGTACAGCGATTGAGATATTAACTTATCTGCTTTCAGTCCTGGTAAGTAAAATGTTTTCGATGTTTGTGAATGCAGACGAAGTTAAGTGGGAGAGATGATGAAACCAAGAAAGTCCCAACTTTACAGCTTCAGAACAGCAGTAGCCCCTATCTTGGAAGACTTCTTGTTCTAAAATATAGGGGGAATAATAGTGTTGATTTTTAGTAGCATTTTGCGTTATAGTTGTCATTGTGATGGATTCACTGGTATTCTAGCCTTTCATTCACTTGTTGAGTGAAATCAGACGATTGCCCCATTTTTTAAGGGTAACGTTTGTTTTTCTAGGATGTTTGGAGCGTCGCTAATCACAAGATTTTCTCGTTTTTCAGCCGCAGCAGACTATCCTGACGTTGTTTAAGCCACTTCAACGAGGCATTGCTACTTGCATGACCTGCCAAAACACCAAGGTAGTAGACTGAATAATTCATGCTTTTCCCGCATGAGTAAACGGTATTTGCGGCTACACGAAAGCCATATTTATCCCTCTATGAGCTTATTTACTGTAGAGGTTATCATTGTTTTTGTACATGGAGAACCACTCGGTCATCACCACTCTGGTACCAGAGCCTTTCTTCCGCTTGTTCGATTTTGACGTACTCAAAAAAGCCTCTGCATGAATCGAGTAAAATCACTGTTGAGCTTGCGCTGCATGTTGCTGGCAATTTTAATCCCAGGCCTACAAATAGCCGTGGTCGCTTAGTACAGCCGGCTCAGTTATGACCAGCGGTCTATCACTAAACGGATGTTCGCACTC